TGAAAATCTGACAACAGATTAATAATCAGCGACCCGAAAACTCCCAGATACCAAGTTTTATAAAATATTAATAATTTTTAAAATATATCTTGTCATTTTTAGGGTTCCGTACCCGAAGGGGGAACCCTATTAATGAGACTAGTGAAGCAAGGCATGTACCCCCCCCCCTAGCGGCCACACAAATTTATCTAGAGGGCTGAAATTTGGTATACATATGTACTTTGGCGTGTAGATTACAGGAAAAATATAGCGAATCTCATAGGAATTAATTATCATAGCGTTGTCAAGGAAAAACCATGAATTTTTATGAAAAATCCCTAAAAATGACTATGTACCCCCCCCTGGTTGCCACATCTTTTTACATAGAGAGCTCAAATTTGGTACACTAATGTATTTTTACGTGAAAATTACAGGAAAAATATAGCGAACATGATTCGGATTAATTTACATAGCGTTGTCAAGGAAAAATCAAAAATTTTGAAAAAAAGCGATTAATCCTCCTAGCGCACACAATATTTAACGAAGGCAGTTCATATTTAGTATACGTGCGTATTTTTGCGTGTAGATTACAGGAAAAATATAGCGAGCACAATTGGAGTTAATGTTCATATTGTTTTTAAGAAAAACTCATATTTTTAGAAAAAATCATGGATTTTTCGAATAAAAAAAGAAGAAAATTTTATCCTAAGGGATCCAAATTTATACTTTTTTACGTATTTTTACGTGTAGATTACAAAAAAAGTATAGCGAGAACGATTGGAGTTAATTATCATAGTGTTTTCAAGGAAAAACTGATAATTTTCGATAAAAATCATGATTTTTCCCCAAAAACGAAGAATATTTTATCTAAAGAGTTTCAAATTCATACACTTTTACGTATTTTTGCGTATAGATTACAAAAAAAATATAGCGAGAACTCCCATTGTGCTTGCTATATTTTTTGTAGTGTTTTGCCATTCTTTATAATTTGCCATTTTCTTTTTTTTATTATTTGCTATTTTTTTTATCTTTTGACATTTTTTATTTGTTGATATTTTTATTACCGTAAAATGGGGTAAAGTCGGCGTTTGGGGGTGAAGTCGGCCGGCGCTTTAAATCATTTTAAAGTTTAACTATTACTTTTTTCCAGAATAAATCCGAGTTTTATTAAAAATGTAGTTAGAATTAATGTAAATTAATAAATGAAATACAATATTTAAGTGTTTAAAGCGCCGGCCGACTTTACCCGCAAACGCCGACTTTACCCCATTTTACGGTATTTGGTGAAATCTAAAAAAAATCATAAAATTGAAAATGTTAAATGATAAAAAAATTAAAAAATTTTTAAAAACTTATGATATTGAAAATAAATAAATGATAGAAGAAAGACCTCCACTCCACAACAAATTTTAGGATTAGGGGTACGGAACCCTCGGTTTTAATGCGAGTGTAACTCGCACTTGTCCGATTTTCATTTTGGGGTTGTTTTCAGCCCTAAAAACCACAAACGAGTTGATCTAACAAAACGGCCAGACAGGGGTATTTTTTTTGTCCTACTTTCCGAAAATGATTGATTTTTTTATGGGTCTAAAAAAAAGTTGAATTTTTTCGGACGGTGTTAAATGTGCCTCACATTTAGTAAAAAAAAAGTTTTGCATAGGCGTAGCTAGAACTTTTGGCTAGGGGGCACGATCCCGGTGTGAATATTCTGATAGGTATGTATTTTTGGGGACAAAGGAGCTAAATAAAAAATTAAAAGTTTTTAAATAATGGCTAAATTTTCGAATATAGTTTTTTAGGCAATAAATCCTCTAAAACGATCTATTTATTGATCTACCTTGTAGGGAAATTAGTCGAAATATAGATTTATATTTAGATCCTTTCGTAAAATATAATTTTTCTCTTGGTTAATTATAGTGGTTAATTATAAATATGCGTATATTTATTATAAATAAATAATTAGGATATATTGTCAAATCAATTGTTGTTGTGTTGTGTTGTTTGACTCATGCATAGCTTATAGGCCCAAACGTAATAGCGGGGTGAGGAACAATGTGAATGATGGAGAAGCGGGACGGGGAAATACCTTACTTCGCTCGATGAAAACGCATGGTGATTGCCGTACATGTATATACAATCTACATTACGCGTCAGATTTATCTCGTGTGTGTGCCTGTACCTATATGTCAAACTCGTGAATGCTAGAATTAAATTATACTTTTCCTTTATATACATATATATATATTTATGTTTATATTAATGTTTTCAACTAGCAAATAATAATTTATTAGTAAATATAAATTGTTTAATATCATATCATTATATTATAAAATTTAATATACATAGTACTGCAATATGCGCAAGGATGCATACTTTTATGCACGCACACCTACTCTGATACAAATAAAAAATTTTTTTGTAACATTCACAACATTGTTATTTTCCAGTTTTGACTTTTGAAACATCGTCATTCGTTATTTTTCCAAAATTTAAATTGTCAACATTGCCGCAACATTCATCATCTCAAGAATGTTGCCGCAATGCTTGTTATTCGAAAAGATTATTTACTTTATATAAACAACTAGCTAAAAGAAACGCGCGTGGTATCTATAGTTTTTTATAAAAAATTAAAGAATTATTCGTCGATTGAGGGCAGAAACACGCCAATTCAGGCGAATGTTGAGAAACATGACAATCTAAAAAATATTAGAGAAACCTGCCATTTCAGTGAAGATTTCAATAACATGCCATCTCAGATATCAAATTTTTGTTGATTGTTTTAGATTGGTAACACTGTAAACGAAAAATTGATGAGTCAAAATAATTAATATTTTGTTGAATATTGATGGTTAAGTCGGTAGAACCTTTAATAATTTTATTATTAATACCCGTGTGGAAAAAGCCACGATCTTGCCCTCAAGAGTTCGGGGCCCCCGGCGGGGGCCCATGAAGGCTGATCCATATGGCGAATCCATGAGGGGCAACGTAGGGGCTCCGCATGGATCGCCCTCATGATCGATTAGCAAAATTTTCTAAGTCCAAAAATCAAATATTTTTTCGTCAACAAAAAATGAATGTTTCCAATGATTCAGAACAACGAAAAACGCGTTTTTAATAAAAATATATTTACACTTTTTTGAAAATAACACTCACACTTATGGCAAAATAGATGAGGGCCATCGTAGGGGCCCGCATGGATCGCCCTCATGATCGATTAGCAAAATTTTCTAAGTCCAAAAATCAAATATTTTTTCGTCAACAAAAAATGAATGTTTCCAATGATTCAGAACAACGAAAAACGCGTTTTTAATAAAAATATATTTACACTTTTTTGAAAATTCACCTGAGATGATTCATGATAATAATCATAAAGCATATAATTAATTATATTTTATAAATTGCATTTGATTGGAAAATATAATTTAATATCTTAACTTTAACTAAATGATGTTAAGCACTTTTCTTTGTTAGGTATTTTTTAAAATTAAATAGCATCAAGAAGTTAGCATTTGTTTTGAAGTAGCGTGAGTAGCGTAGTTGGTAAAGCGTTAGACTCATAGTCCGTAGGTCGTAGGTTCGATTCCCCCCATGCGTTAGATTTATTTATTTCTCAGGTTTGCGTTTAATCATTAATTCTATGTATGAATTAACCCGTGTAAAAATAATTTAGTATTAGAGAGATCTAGTAAAACGTATGGCAAAAAGTCTATAAGTGATCTATCATATAGTATATGTAAAGTATATGTAATGAGACTATCCCATACTCAAAGTATATGTAGATAAGTTTATCTGAAGTATATCTGAAGTATATCTAAAATATATCTAAAATATATCTTAAGTATATTTAAAGTAAATCTAAAGTATATATCAAATATATCTGAAGTATAGCTGAAGTATATAATTCAAGTAAATGGATGGAGTATAGCTAAAGTATATACAAAGTATATTTGAAGTATATTTGAAGTACATTTAAAGTATATACAAAGTATATTTAAAGTATATTTGAAGTATATTTGAAGCATAGCTAAAGTATATAATTAGGGTAAATAGCTGGAGTATGGCTAAAGTAGCTACAAAGTATATTTAAAGTATATCCGAAGTACAGTTGAAGTAAATTTGAAGTATATCTGAATTTCAGTTAAAGTATGTTTGAAGTATAGCTGAAGTATATAATTGAAGTAAATAGCTGGGGTATGGCTGAAGTATATACAAAGTATATTTTGAGTGAATTTGAAGTATAGCTGAAGTATATCATTGAAGTAAATAGCTGGGGTATAGCTGAAGTATATATACAAAGTATATTTGAAGTATATCTGAAATACATTTGAAGTATATCTGAAATACATTTGAAGTATGTTTGAAGTATATCTGAAATAAATTTGAAGTATATTTAAGTAAATTTGAAGTATGTTTGTAGTATTTCTGAAGTATATTTAAAGTATTCCTAAAGTATATTTGAAGTATATTTGAAGTATACCATAAATAAATTTTTTTGTTTATTTGCTATACCCGTGTAAAAATATTTTAGTATCGGAGAGATCTATCATCTAATCATCTGTCACTCCTCTAGCCTATAATATATGTATTAAAAGTATAGTACATCCCATACTGCAAGTATAAGTATGGAAAAGGTATGCTGAAAATACATTTGAAAAAAAGTATTATTAAAGTATATTTTACGTATTTTTGGAGTATTTTGTTATTAAATTGGAAGTATCTATCTGTCTAAATATTTGCAAAATATATTTAAAGTATAGCAAAAATATATGAATCGTTTTTTAAATGCTTTAATGTATCTATAAAGTCTACTAATTGTATATATGAAACTTTTCCATAATCAATCTCAAGTATATATAATGTATATTTGAAGTATATCAATAGTAATTTGGAAGTACTATTTAAATATAGCATATTATAGGTATATATAGCAAAAGTATATTAAAAGTATTTAAAGCCAATCAAAAATATAAAATTTTTCTTGAACATTTTTATTTCAAATTAAGTAAGCGTAATTTAAAAACGGAACAAAATGAAATTTGTATTAAAAATTAACATCGTTCTTTAAAAATAAATTTTTTTAGTGTAAGTGTAAAAATGTAGATACAATAAAACCTCTTTAATTGGGACGGTTTACACATGTCCCACTTACACAGGTTTCACTATATTGAAAATTATTTTTTTTCTAAATTTTAAATTAATTAACGAATTATTAAAAAAATTAATTATTTATCTCTCATTTTGTCGTCTTTATTCATTCCATTCTCATTCGATATTTTTTTCAATTTTTTTCTCTTCGTAGCTTTGTTTCTTTATTTTCTTTATTCTCTTCATTCGAAACTTCATCCTTTTCTTCATTTCTACTGCTGCTTCATTGAAAATTTCTCAGTTTTTTCTCATTCTTCCTCTTCATTGACTTGTTTCTTCTTTTTCTTGTTTGTCTTCTTACTTTCCTCATCTCGATCTTCACCCATTCCATCTTTTACTTCCAAAATTTCGTCAGTTTCCTCACTGGGATTCAAATTCTCTTTTTCATTTCCGCTAATACTTTCTTCTGTCCATTTTGCACTATCTTCGTCTTCTTTCTCTTCGTTACCTTGTTTCCTCTTTTTTTTCCTTTTTTTCTTACCTTCTTTACTTTGATCTTTGTTAATTCCCTCTTTTAGTTTTAAGATCTCATCACTGTCTTTACTAAAGTTCACATTGTCGTTTTCATTTCTTGTTTCTTCTGACAATTTCAGATTTTCGTCACCTTTTTCTTGTTCATGCTCATGTTTCTTCTTCTTTTTCTTCTTTTTCTTAATTTCTTCGTTCCGATTCTCATCAATCACAGTCAAATCTTGTTTTCGTTTCTTTCTTGTATTTTCAATTTCTTCTTGATTTTCGTCTTTAGTAGCACTTGAATTTTCGTCTTTTTCATTCGAGGCTTTCTTGCGTTTTCCATTTTTCTGTTTTTCCTTGTCCACTTTTTCATTGTTTTTTGCACCTCTCTTCTTTTTGGTTTGTTTTCCTTTGTTTGAATCATTTCCAGTTTTGTTTTTCGCCTTGAGTTGATTGCGAAGCGTATTGCACATTAAAGTTAACGTTCTAATATATTCTTGATGTTTAATTTTGAAACCTTTTTTAACGTTTTCCTTCACAAATGCTGAAAAATAAAGAATTTTTATAGATATTTTGAAATTAAGTAGACAATTAGAAATCATTAAACTGCAATAGGCTGTTTAGATTTGTTTGGCTCTTGATAGCCCTTTTTATTTTCTGTCTTTCTTCAATTTTAATTTTAAAAATTTACAAATACGAAAATAACTATCAAAATTAGGGCAAAATCAGAAGATGTGTCACAGTTTAACTGGTTTTCAATAGAAATTAATCAGGAATTACAATGCATTTTGTAAAAAAAAGTGGGAAAAGGTGAAATATTTTTCGAAAATAGGAGACTAGAAAGTGAACTGAAGAAGAAAATTTAAATGTAAGTGATTTTTTCGATTTTTCCATAAATTATAAAATTAAAATTTAGAAAAATTGAATCACTAATGTTTAAACTTTGGAATAGATAAATTAAAAGTAATTAAATTTTGAAATTGAATTTTTGAAAAAATCAAAATTAATAACAAAATTTAAAAATATTAAAATATGTGAATGCATGTGACATTCTATGATCTACGTTCTCTCTAAAACTGAATCAGTGAAATTTCATTGGTAAATCAGTGAAAAATGACTGATTCCCAGTGACCCTCTTCTCAAGATATGAATCAGTGAAATTTCATTGGAAATCAGTGAAAAATGACTGAAGTTTCAGTCATTTTCAACTGATTGGCCAGTTAAAAAATGACTGGAATTTTCAATAATGGTTACTGAAATTTCAGTCATTTTTTAACTGTCGAATCAGTAGAAAATGACTGACACTTCAGTCATTTTTCACTGATTCCCAATGAAATTTCACTGATTCATATCTTGAGAAGAGGGTCACTGAGAACCAGTAGATTTTCACTGATTCAGTTTTAGAGAGTTGAATGTTTATTGTAAGACAGACTATTTTTTTCTACTTTCGTAAAACTCACATTCAACATTATCTAGGACTTGTTTAGGTATGGCCGTATGATCTCCTCTTCCAGTTGGCGACATGTTAATTAGGTTATTTTCACCCAGCAAATTTTTCATCAGTTTTCGTGCCATTTCTTTTGGATTTTTTCGAAATTCTGTTTTAATAAATTCGAGTTCCACTTTGTCCATCCAAATATTTGTGTCAGGAGCAATTTCAACCTATAAAATATGTATAATTTATTAGCTGTTTTATTATTATTTTTTTTCATGTCCAGAGGAAAATGTCAAATGTAATTTTTGAATTAAAAAAAAAAAATTTTTATTTAAAATTTTTCCTAAATGATGTAAATATTAATATTGAAATCCCAAGGAAATTTTTAGACACTCAGATGATACTCTAAAAGGTTTAAAAAGTTTTAATAATTACAAATATTATGTATACCTTTCCAAGTCCTTTAATTCGATACGTTCCAAGGACTTTATTTCTTGGGTTTTCTTCCATAACCGGTACCTAATAAAAAAAATATAATTATATGTTTATTTTGTACATGACAAATAAATTATTTTATAAATATGAAAATAAAAATGATAAGACATATAAACCTGAGAACTTGAGGGCTGTCCAGTGATACTGTCATAGTCTTGACCAGTTTGTTCTTTGAATGTATCTTTTGACCATCTCAAAATCCCCTCCAAAAAACGTATATTTTCAATAGTGACTGAAAGATTTGGAAAATTGTTAAAAATAAAATAAGTTATAGGTAAATTAAAAATTATATTATTTTGATATTAAACCTTCTTCGTCATCCTGTTGAGAAGCAAAACTGTCATTGAAATGCGAACCACTTGGAGCATTTGAATCCGGGCCGTTGTCTGGTTTTGTTGGTGAACCTTTCTTGAGGTTTTGTTGTGAACCAAAATCTTCAGCATTGATTTCAAAATTAGGAGGTTCAGTACTGGAATCCTCGTCAGATTCGTCCAAATTATTAGAGGGAGACAGTAAACGAGTGTCCATATTACACATGGATGATTCGCCATAATTTTCAAAAATCGATGATTGTTGAATTAACTCCCTTTCCAAATCCTCTTCAACAGACCTTTTATTCTTATCATTTTCTTTTTCCATGTCGACTACTTTTTTTCTCTCTTCCATTCTTGCAGCATTGTTTTTAATCGAGCTAACTTCAATGCTTAGAGTTCCATCTGTAGCCACTGTCAACGATTCAAGCCACTTTTTGTCTTCTAAAAATTTTATTTATTTATTTAGAAAATTAAATTAAGTGGAAATTAAATTAAATTAGATAGTTTTTAAATTACATGTAATTTCTTTTTTTTCAAAATATGTATTTTATAAATTTTATGTGATACACTTGTTAAAAAAAAGAGAAAAAAATTTTGTTTTAATATTTATATAAAAATATAAAATTTGTATTAATTATTTATTATAATGCATTTTTTATATTTAAAAATTTGTTTTTTTTGTTTTATATTTTATTTACATTTAATATTTATATTTTTTTATTATTTATAAATGAAGTTTTTGATTTATAAACCTTTTTTTAATATTAAAAATTTTGTTATGGAAAATTTTAAAAAAATTTTTGAAAAAAATTTATTTATTTATTTATTTATTTAATTGTAAATTTAAATTTAAAAAAAATTTTTTAAAAAAATTTGAAAACATTTTTTAAAAAACATTTTAAAAAAAATTTTTTTTACAAGGAAATTTCCAACTATTTATTATTTATATTTATTGTCTGCAATAATTGCATAATCAAAAAGTTTAAATTATTGAAAGTATTTATACATGTATATAAAGGTAAAAGAAGGCTGTGACAAAATGTGATAAAAAAAATTAGGTTATGAAATAAGAATCGAATTTTCATTAAAAATTCAAATTTAATTCGAAAATTAACAATAAAAATTAACAAATGTAAATTAAAAAATTTAAGTAGTGAAAAATTATTAAAAAAATAAAAAACTAAAAAACTAAAAAAATTGGAAAATTCAAGTTAAAAAAATTCGTTAATATAAAAATTATGCATTCAGAAATTCAATGACGTTTGCATTTAACTTACCACTTTTTTGTAAGATTCTTGCAGGGTAATATTTGTTTCTCCACTTTGCTTCAAAAATTCCTTTTTTAATTGTCCTTATCCGATTTTCTGGCAGAATTGAGTATGTTTTACATTTAGTATTTTTCCACAAAACGAGACAAAATTTTGTAGGTTTGCATGACATTACACTTTTTTAAAACAAATGATAAGCGCGCTAGTTGTACGTCACGTTCGCCCTGTATGATGCATCGATTTTAGCTCCAGCAGAAAAAAAAGCGAACAAGAAAGATGTGTCGATTATTATTTGTTTTGTCAACAAAACATTAAACAGTTTTTTGGAATATAAAAATGCCAAAAATACGTACATTTAGTGAATATTCCCGGCCTAGCCGATATCGCCTTCTTCATGACTACAAAAAGAAGAAAAAATTGCAGCAAAATATTGATGAGACTGAAGATCCCATTTTCGAAAATGCACCAAGTAATGACTTATCAGGTAAAAAACGTCACTCAACTTCAAAAATATTCTTTTCTATATACTATATAGAGCATATGTTATTGATTTCATTACAAATTTGATAAATATAATGGGATTTTTTATTATGAATACATAAATAATAATAAATAAATAAATAAACGGATAAAAAATTGACGAAAAATTATTTTTGTATGTGTAATTTTTATGAAGCCATTTTCAAACTTAAAATTTTTGTCTTTGCTTATATTTATGACAAATTGAAATTACAATTGAACCTACAACTAATTACATAAAACAACATGTTTAAATTATTTTTTTAAAGTTAAAATTAAAAAAATACTGAAAAAATTTTTTAATGAAATTTACTATTGTAATTATAATTTGTTTTTATAAAAATAATTTTGTATAGAGAAATATAATTTTTCTCACTATAAATTTCTTTAAAAAAATAAATTGTAATAGTTACATTAAATTATAAATTTAATAAATAAAGAAATTTATTTTTCTGTAAAAATTTGTAATTATAAAAACTTTTTGAAATAAAATTGTCCTCAAATAAAAATTACAGAATTTTATAATTTGCGAATAAAGTCTACTATAATTTATTTTTTCTATAAGAAATTATTATCGTGATTTTATTAATTCTTTTTCAGAACAAATTATTTATAATAGTTCTTGTTCACAGATTTTTATGTTTCGTAATTTTTATTACAAGACAATAATTCAATTGGCAATTTTAATTTCACTATGTCATGCAAGCCAGAAAAAATTATTTAAAAAAATTTATAAATTAAAAAAATTCTTATAAGTATAATTAGAATAATTTTTATGCAGATCAAGAATTTGAAAATCATGAATCGAGGAATTCTAGCAGAGAGAATTCGAGAACCAGTGACGAATCCACTGATGAGAGTAGCTCTGACAGCTCAGACACAAGTACACATGCAAATAAAGAAAATAAGGAAGATTCTAGCGATGATAATAGTGATTGCAATAAACACCGAGATTATGTCAAAAGTGACGAATCAGAAGAAGAAACGAATAGTAGTTCGAATGAAGATGACAGCAGCAGCAGCAGCGAAAATGAAGATGAAGATGAAAACGATAAATTTTTATATCCAGGAGCACCGTTAACTGTTGCGCAAAGTATGATCGTAATTTTGTCTCTTCTGATAAGATATCAATTAACAGGATCCTGTTTAGCAAGCATACTAGAAGTGATTGCAATGCACTGTATACAACCAAATTTATGCAAAAAAACCCTTTATTTTTTTAAAAAATTTTTTAGAAATATTGGAGTACCACTTGTTAGACATTATTACTGTTCGAAATGTTTAAAAAAACTACCATCGCGTTCATCCAAGTGTACTAAATGCAAAAAATTTAAAGGAATAAGTTATTTAATCGAAATACCTCTTTTAACGCAATTACAAGTCTTTTTCAAACGACCCGGTTTTTTTGCAAGTTTAAGTCATAGGTTTACACGGAAAAAACAAAACGAAGATAACTTGGAAGATATTTATGACGGTAAAATATATAAAAAACTTAGCAAAAATGGCAACATTCTGTCTAGTGTTAACAATATTTCGCTAATGTGGAATACAGACGGTGTGCCGTTATTCAAGTCATCTAAAATTAGCATATGGCCATTTTATTTCACCATCAATGAGCTACCATTCGCAGAACGAATTAAAAAGGAAAATATGATTCTTGCCGGATTATGGTTCGGTCCTTCAAAACCTTCTCCTAATCTGTTTTTACAATTTCTTCAAGAGTCACTACAAAAATTGTATAATGGTGTAAATTTTACAATTCATGGAAAGACGAATAAAGTGAAAGTAAGGGGTATTGTAATATGTGGAACCTGTGATTCACCTGCGCGATCTTTATTTCTAAATACGAAGCAATTCAATTCAAAATTCGGTTGCCCGAAATGCAAAATCCAAACCAAAAAACTGCGAAAAAATCTTCGTGTATATCCACACCAAGATGAACTGAACTTACGGACGTCATCAGAAACAGAAAAGTTCGCTGCAAAGGCTCATAAGAAAAAAAACCCGTATTTGGAGTAAAAGGACCCTCTGTATTATCGAAAATAACTCATGATTTTATTCGAACGATGACTCTTGACGCAATGCACTGTGTATTCCTAGGAGTTGTAAAACGACTTTTATTCTTGTGGTTTCACTCTAAATTTCATGGAAAATCTTGGTCTTTGTCAAAGTTTATAAAAGTTATTGATAAAAGAATAACATCTTTAACTCCTCCATCGTTTGTAAAGAGACTGTCAAGAAACATTTCAGATCATAAGTATTGGAAAGCTTCAGAATTAAAAATATGGCTTCTATATTATTCTTTACCGATTTTGAACGACATTCTGCCAGAACCATACTTATCGCACCATAAACTTCTTGTATTAGCCATTTATTTGTTAAGTCAAAAAAGCGTTTCAAAAGATATGGTTGATCTTGCAGACAGAGCACTTAAAGAATATGTGAGCAAATTCCAAGTTTTGTATGGCTTAGACCATATGACATCAAATTTGCATTCTCTGCGTCATTTAGCACTCGGTGTTTTAGATTTTGGTCCTCTGTGGGTAACGTCGTGTTTCGCATTTGAAAGTATGAATGGAATTTTGAAAAGTATGGTTCATGGTACAAAATATGCTGAATTACAAATATGTTCAGCTGCAAATATGTTGATGTGCCATGCAGAATTAAAATCAAAAGTTTTACAGGTAGGTTCTTTGGCTTATAAATTTTGCAAAAAAATAGAAAAGAGCGGCACACATAGATTAAAAGCATATTTTGTGATGGAAAAAATCGCCATTATCGGCAAATGTAAACAGTTTAATGAGTCATTTGAAAAATTTCGAAATTGTTTGACATCATTTGGACCTAACATTGGTTCTAATTTAAATGTATTTTACAGACTTCTGAAAAGTAACCTAGTTTATTCTTCAGAAATGTACGACGCAAAGTTTAAAACCACAACATGTTGTGTGAAATATCGATACAATGGCGTTAAAAGTATTGGAGTGGTCCAATGTTTCCTCAGAATGTCAAAATGTTCATGTGGTAAAAATTGTAATGCATGCTATGATAACTGCAAATTATATGCTATTGTTAAAAAGTGTAAGACGACAAATAACTTCTTTGCTCCGTTACAAAATACTTGTTTATCATTTATTCACAAATTTACAAATTCTCAAAACGAAGAATATCTTTTAATTGATGTCAACGATTTAATTACAGTTTGTTTTAAACTTGTAATTGCAGGAAAGCCAAAGGAGCCAAATGTCGTCTACGCAATAGAGCCCGCGACACTGTCAGAATATGAATAATAATTGTTTGTTGAAAATTATTATTTGACAGTAACTTTTACGTTTAAATAAAAATTGTAATTATCGTAGATAGTGAAGAATATTAATAAATAAAAATCAGCTTATAATATATTAAATAGTCAGTTATTTACAATTTTTATATAAAATAGCATAATCCTTACTCTTCAAAATTCAAAACTTAAAAAATTATCTTCAATAAATATTGCAGAAATTCCTTACATATACTTCATAAAGATTCCTTATATACGTCAGAAAGACTTACAGATATACTTCACAAATACTTTAGGTATACTTAATAAGGACTTCATATATACTTCAAAACCATTTGATATATACTTCTAATGTACTTTTCATATACTTCACAAATACTTTAGATATACTTAACAAGGAATTTATATATACTTCATAAATATTTGATATATACTTTTATGTACTTTTCGTATACTTTTCATATACTTCACACATACTTTAGGTATACTTAGCAAGGACTTATTATATACTTCATAACTGTTTGATATATACTTTTTATATACTTTTCATATACTTCACAAATAATTTAGGTATACTAATTTCATTTATACTTCATAATATTTTATATACTTTTCGTGTACTTTTTATATACTTCACAAATACTTTAGATATACTTATTAAGGACTTAATATATACTTCATAAGTGTTTGATGTATATATACTTTTTATGTACTTTTCGTATACTTTTTCATATACTTCAAAAATACTTTAGGTATACTTAGCAAGAAGTTAATAAATACTTCATAACTGTTTGATATATACTTTTTATATACTTTTCATATACTTCACAAATAATTTATAGGTATACTTACCAAGGACTTCATTTATACTTCATAATATTTTATATATACTTTTTGTATACTTTTTCATATACTTCACAAATACTTTAGGTATACTTATTAAAGACTTAATATATACTTCATAAGTGTTTGATATAAATACTTTTTATGTACTTTTCGTATACTTTTTAATATACTTCAAAAATACTTTAGGTATACTTAGCAAGAACTTAATAAATACTTCATAACTGTTTGATGTATACTTTTTATATACTTTTCATATACTTCACAAATAATTTATAGGTATACTTATCAAGTACTTCATTTATACTTCATAATATTTTATATATACTTTTCGTGTACTTTTTCATATACTTCACAAATACTTTAGGTATACTTATTAAGGACTTAATATATACTTCATAAGTGTTTGCTATATATACTTTTTATGTACTTTTCGTATACTTTTTCATATACTTCACAAATACTTTAGGTATACTTAACAAGGACTTCATATATACTTAATAACTATATGATATATACTTTTTACGTACTTTTC